ACATCTGAAACAGTGTAGGCTGGGCTGCCAGCTGGAGACCCTAGGGAGTCACAGGTTGCAGGCTTGGCGGCAGAGCTGGTCAGGGCAGTTTAGCATGTTGGCTCTTTGAGCTTCTCCAGCTTGCTTTCAGTTTAGTGATTGGGGCAGGAGGCTATGTAGTCCAGGTGAGAGTAGACAAGAATAATCACTGTCGCAAAAGAATGAACCCTCCTGCCGTTAGGTGTGGTAGACAAGTGTGAGGGGTAGCAGCAACCAGCTCAGAGTCTGAGGGCTCAGATGACAGGTTCTCTCCACTGTGAACTTGATTCTACTCGGAAAGAAACCAATTCTGTGAAATCTCCCTAGGGTCTGCATGTTTACTTACTTATTGGGATGTTTTTTACTCTTATTAAAAATAATATTTCTTTTGTCTTGAATGATTATTTTTGAAAATGCAGAAAATACATATAGAAATCACCTATAACCTTACCGTCCAGATGTAACCATTTTTTAAAAATAAATTTATTTATTCTATTTGTTTATTTTGGGGTTCTTTGGGTCTTTGTTGCTGTGCGTGGGCTTTCTCTAGTTGCGGAGAGCATGGGCTACTCCTCGTTGCGGTGCGCGGGCTTCTCATTGCGGTGGCTTCTCGTTGCGGAGCACAGGCTCTAGGCACATGGGCTTCAGTAGTTGTGGCACTTGGGCTCAGTATTTGTGGCTTGCGGGCTCTAGAGCACAGGCTTAGTTGCTCCGCCGTGTGTGGGATCTTTCCGGACCAGGGCTAAAACCCGTGTCCCCTGCATTGGCAGGCGGATTCTTAACCACTGCACCACCAGGAAAGCCCCCAGATGTAACCATTGTTAATACTCTTGTTGTGTTCCTTTCAGACATTTTCCTATTATGATGCATATTAATATACATATTCATGTTCATTTAAGTAAAATGGGGTTGGACAATACTTAATATTTTGTAAGATTACAAAATACTGTCATTGCCAGTTTTTATTTTATATCATTTAAGTGGATGCATAGTATTCTATTGTATGAATTTATATAATTCCCTGTTGTGGGACATTTATCCTTTAGCTAACTTTCTGCAATTATAGATTTTGTGGTAAATACTTTGTCAATAAGTCTATGAAGATGTATACAATTCATCCATGAAATGGATTGCTGGGTCAAAGGATAAGCCGAATTCTAAGGGTTTTTATTTCAACAAATTGTCGTGCAGAAAGGCTGTATAAAATTGGCACTCCTGCTGGCAAGTATGTGCAAACATTCATTTTCCCAAAGCATCAACAGCAGTGGGTAATATCATGATGAGGGAAATGTCTCTAGTTTGGTAGATGAAAATGCTGTATGTTTTAGTTTTATGTGCTGTTGATTTGTAAAGGTAGCTCCAATGCTCACACCAGTCTCCCTTACATTTGCCATTCCTTCCGTCTTCTCTGATGGTGGTTTTCTATTTTGCAGCATTGCTGGGAGCCTGGTGTATTCCTACATCACTTTCTCTGAAGAGCAGCTGAGCAAACAGTCAGAGGCCAGTAACAAGCTGGACATTAAGGGGAAAGGAGCAGTATGACCAGAGGATTGCATCAGCTACATAGGCCCAAGTTTTTGATCAGCTCGGAACACTGGCAGTTCTTATACAGATTCTGAGGTGTCTTGATTATGGAGAAAATACCATTCCTTTGCACTTGTACAATCTGAGGATTGATTGCTGCCTTTTAAAATTTTATGAGAGAGACTTATAATTGACTCTTTTAAATATGCCATTTGAATTAATTTATATCAGACTGGAAAATGTACTGGGCTTTTTAATTTATTTTTCTTCTTTGCCGACAGTGAAACATCAGTGTTTTGAAAATATTTTATTCCATAGTTTGATATCCAGCTGTCCCTGAGAGCTGCGTATATGAAGTGCTCCACCTGGAGCCTCATCGTTCACATCATTGCCGCGTCTGGAGGCACTTGAGCCTTCCTTCTGCTGGAAGTGCAGCCAAGGATCTTAAATTTCTCTTCTTTGAATTTTCTTTCTTAACAATTGCATTTTCTTCATATGGATGTCGTCACTCCTTTTGCCAAAGATGACATCTTTGGCGCTAAAGAAATGTGTGCGGCTTTGAAGTGTATTGGTTTCCACGTTGGCTTCCTTAAGAACTAATGGGATGAACAGAGTGCTTTCCTTGAAAATATCCTATTCCCTCTTTGTTGTGTAGGATGAGGATAATGAAGGGGCGGAGGAAGTAAGTCTTTTCCTCATTTATTCGTCTGTCTCTGATTCATTCATTCAACTAAAATGTATTGAGTATGTAGTATGTGCCAGGCATTGTGCTAAGTGCTGGGGGTAAAGGGATGTTTTGGAGGTAGTTGCCTTGATCTCACTCCTGCTATAGTGACCGAGGGTTAGACAGAGAACTTAGCTCTGTTGATTTATTTAGAAGACGTTGTGACTATGAACAAATCATGGAAATTTTTTCAGCTCTCAGAAACTGCAGATCTGTAAGTAGGGTTGGAAGCACCTGTCTACCAGCCCCACGGCGATGCGAAACCACATGCTACAGTGTATGTCACATGTATGTGCAAAGCTGCAATTGTAAACCATGCAACTCAGCCTTTCTTCTCTGAGTGAGAATGGCATGCAGGGAAGGGGACCATCATCTATTTCCCCGTGCTTCCCACCTCTGGGTTTGGTTGCTACTCTTTTTACTCGTCCTTGAATCAATATGCCTACGTCTTATATTTTTGAGTGTATGGTTTGAGGAGAAAGGCTGGTTAGATGTTTCTACATTGTTGAGGCTTGGACTGTCTCTGGCAGTGTCAGTGTTAGAGCCATCACCTTCCTTACCACTTGAGTGGCACGAGCATACCTATTTCCTTTGGACGCTCCCACCTACATCCCACATCCCTTGGTCACTTGATGAGCATGCCCGCTTCTCTCAAGACCAGTGCTGCATCCTGGAGAGCAGCTGGGGATGGGCATGCCTAAATTGCCTCTTTGGGTGGGTCAGGTGTTAACTCAAACACAGTAGTGTGACTTGGCTTAGAGACATCCATTGACCTTGGAGATGAGTGTTTGCTCCGGCCAGCTGTGCAATCATTGTGTAAGAGGCTGGGTACCTTTGTGCTGGTGTACACTCTGGCTTCCATTTCATTAGGTTTGCAATCTACTGGCCTTTGTTGACCTAAACAGTTAGTATTTTGGCGCCTCAACAGGGGACCTGGAAGGTTTTGATTTCTTTTTATTTTTGAAAAAGTATTATATTGAGGTCATTTCACATTCATATCTTTCCCTTATTTTGTCTTTATCGAAGCCTGGCCGGTGGTGCTGGGTCCCTAGAATTAGCCTCATGGCCAACTCCCAAGTTACAAGCTCCAGGTAAGGGGTCCTAAGGCTCACTTTTTTCCAGTATTATGTGAGCTGAGAAAATTCAAGTGGGAGAATAGGATATTATCTTGTACAAGATATCTTGTTGTCCCTGTTTTATTGATAAGAAAACAAGACTCAGAGAAAGTTAGGTGACTTGCTAGTAAGTCACAATTCCTGTTTTTTTCCACTGAACCATGCTGCCAATGATAACCTCCCTTCTCCTCTGAGGGAGTGAGGAAATGGGGCTGCCAGCTAAGCTAGCTTGAGCTCTTTCAGGGAGGCAATCTGTTGATTGAATTTGGAGTCAGAGAGGAATAGGCTTTGCGAGTCAGAGTGATGGGTCAGTGTACATGCCTGAGCTTCTGTCTCACTTCCAGGCTGGCCTCAGTTGACATGCACTTCTGGCTGTGAATGTTGCTGCCACTGCCTGGTTTTGCCACTGGGGACAGTGGGAAGTTGTGGGATCTAATTTTAGCAGTTCTGTTCCTTCTTCTATCAGCCACATGGAAGAGGGAACTTTGATGTTAGAAATAGTTTGTGTGCATTTAGAGGTGTTGGACTAAAACCCCACCAGGGGTTGAACTGCTTCTTGGGGATCAGGTTCCCTTGAAGATCTGTCATCTCTCCAGGTTTATTTGAGGAAATGATGGATAGTTATAACTTCACTAGATGCACATGACCTCAGGGCTTCTGGCCTATGCTGAACTTTCTGGATGATGAGAAGCAGTAGAGTAGTTTACAGCTTCTGCTCTATCCATGTTGATTGCTGGATGCCCCCTTCAACTGCCACCAACATTTCAAGATAAGAGAAAGAAGCCTGGGGAAGTTGGAGATTGAATAGTCTGGCCAACCATTTTTGAAGTTTGTTTTCAATTACGTGCCGGCTTGGTTATGGCACACACAAAGAGATTTACCCGGTATTCCAGCATCTTATAAGCCAAAAGTTCTTTGATCTGTTAACTACCTCTTGGAAGAAAGAGAGACAGTATAGAGGTAAATGCTTAAATTTGCCCTTTGAGACAAATGAGCTGTGGTGAGAATTTTGAAAACACATTAGTGACTAGTGGCTCCTCTTCTTGAGTCAGTGACAGTGATGTTGTCTTTGGCCAGTCTGTTTTTAAGGCAGTGCCAGATTGATTTGAATAACCCTGGTTGGCCAGGCTACACATTGCTAACATGTCAGGTGATTTTTAATACCCTTATATGGCAGTTGGCTGTATGAGTCAGTCATTTGTAGGATCCAACTTGCACGTAGGTTAAGAAAGTAAAGTATGTTTGTAAGTTTGTTGTTTGTAGTCCTAGTGTATCAGGAATGCATGGTAAGTTCACATCAGTAATGCTGATGTAGGATCTTCGTGGAAAGAATAGTAGAATTTCACTTTTGACTGGTTTGGGATGGAACCCAGGATTTGGGGAGGGCCTGCCTTTGCTTTCATTATTATGGCGTCATTCAGTGAGCAAAGATTGACTGTTTTATTCCAGGCATTATGCTAAGCTCTGGGGCATCTGAGGTGAAGAGGGCAGGGTTCTTGTTCTCAAGGAATGTATAATTCTTTAGCCAGACCCCGATTGAGAGAAAGAAGCAGATGAAAGGAGTCCGTGATTTATGAGTAAAAGCTGCCTGCACAGTTGTCAGCACCGCTGATCAGGGTTGTCCCACCCACAGCGCTGAATGAAGCACTTTTTTTTTTTTTTTTTTGCGGTACGCGGGCCTCTCACTGTTGTGGCCTCTCCCGTTGTGGAGCCCAGGCTCCAGACGCGCAGGCTCAGCGGCCATGGCTCACGGGCCCAGCCGCTCCGCGGCATGTGGGATCTTCCTGGACCGGGGCACGAACCCGTGTCCCCTGCATCGGCAGGCGGACTCTCAACCACTGCGCCACCGGGGAAGCCCTGAAGCACTTTTTTAATCTAAGAGGAGTTATAACTCCTACTATTCCCTTAGCTCTGAGATGCGTGCCAGGCCATTAGAATTCTGTCAATAGCCTGGATCCCTCCTCCCTCTCGTGCATGCATTCTTGCTTCCTCAGACCTACAGCTGTGTACTACTGGTCCTCCTTGTGAACGAGGCTGTAATTGATTTTTCCCTCCCTGAGGGGAAAAAGAAATACTCAGAATAAATGAGATAACAGATGCAAACTACTCAGCACAACACTCAGCACATGTTGTTATTGTCATTATTTCATGGCAAGACTATAGGCAAAGATTAAGATTCTTAATTTGTGCTCCTTAAATGCTAGAGACTGGGCAGTGTATTTGTTTTAAAATGTGACCCTATACTTTGTTGCCTCTAGAATGCTTAGTTTCAAAGAACAGTTACTGCTCACGGTTAAAGAATGGTTTCTGCTCACGGCCGTCTTTTATTTAATACCTACTGGATATAATTGTGGATATTGTGTGATGCAGGTGAATCCATCTGTTTAAAAAAAAATAAAATTACTTTTGTATTTTGGTAAATTAAAAAAAAAAAAGAAAAATTATTTTCTACCTTAGAGGAAGATAATTACACTTCAGAATGGTGATTCCGTTAAAACTTCCCCAGTTTGTCACCTTAAGGTAGCTCCTGTATAGGTCAGACATTCCTTCTTCCCTTCTCCGAATTAAATGCATCAACTTCATGCTGCCTCTGTGTCCAGGCTTTTGTCAGTTGGTGTTTGTGAACCTCTGGCACCATTGCTGTTTTCTAAACCTACCTTCTAGTTCTTACTGTTAGGGTGCCACTTCATCATGGTATGAGGAGGTATTCTATGGTGGGTTTTTTTTTAAGCTTGCTTTTTTGAGAATACTTTTTAAAAAGAAATCTACTGGTTAGATTTTTTTGTCTCACAAAAATGTTTTTAGAGATTATTTTGTTCATAAATGTTTCTCATGCTGATGATCAGCTGAGTTTGTCTACATATGTTGACCTATCACAGTATTTTTTCAATACAGATTCTATTTACCAAATGACCATTTTAGTGTTTTTAAAAGGTACCGAGGATTGAGATATGTAAATCAGGTGACATAATATGAAAATTATGTGCCTAAATATTTTTGTAAAGGTGTCAAATAAATACTTTTTCTTCAACACATGTATTAAAATTTCTTTCTAAGTGCCTACAAAGACAGTCAAGAGCCATAAGTGTGCCTGAATTTAAGAGGATGGCATCCAAGCTAGTTAACTGAGACCCAGTAATAGAGAAAATACTGTTTGCCATTGTGATATTATGATTTATAATAAGAAATATACATTTGGTCTTTGTCCCTGTTCCTGGCACACAGCTCCTAAAACCCTTGTAATTTTCTATAAGAGCTATAGGGACATCTTTTGTTACAGTATTTAGTGTGGTTTACAGTTCCTGAAATAACTCCAGAGCCATAACAGTGAAATGGGTATCTTTCGTTAGCATCTTTCAACCATACCTGAGTTTATGTTAATGAGGTGACTTTTGGAAACT